ACACACACACACACACACACACACACACACACACACACACACACACATAGTCATTCTGTAAGTTCTGTTCCTCTAGAGAACACTGACTAATACAATTCCCATACCTTATTCCAGAAAATTCCTTAGATAATCTTAGAATTTCTTTTATTTTAGGTATGTTACTCCAAGTCATACATTACTGGTTATATGATATTTGACCGTATGAAGGCACTGTGTTGATGTAATCCTGATGAGACTAGACTTTCTCCCGGTTTCCCAGCACAGAAATTCTGTGTGATATTTTTGCACATGAATTTTGCTGCACATCTGGTCAAGTCTTTAGGATTAACTCCTAGGAGAGGAAGGGGAAATTCCCAGGGTTTTTAGTCCAGCAATACACTGCTAGAGTCCATTTCTGAAAGACTGCAACAGTTGATGACCTTACCATCAGAGATTTCTGTACCATCTGGCCTCAGAAACAACCCCACATTTCCAAAGGAACAGATACAGGGTAGATAGTTGGTAACCCATTGGAGGCTTTTGTTTGCTTTTCTGTGAAACTCTAGATATGATTATCCAGTTGTCATTAGGGCTACAGAAACTCCAGGGTGGATAAGAATATTTCCCGAAAAAGGGAAGTGTACGGAGGCTGGGAAGCACCCTGGGAATCCAGTGCAGTCAAGTACTAAGGAGGAAGCTCCCCACAGAATGGCCAGTGGCTGGGTCAGCTCAGAGTCTCTAGATGGCAGCTTGCTCTGACCAGACCTCCATCTCTGCAGAGGAGGCTTCTGGATGCCTTCCAGGCATGGTTAGCTAGAAGGAGTGCACCGTGGGACAAACAATAAATCAAAGAGAGGTGGAGTGGAGACCAAGGCGTGGGTCCAGGCTACAGGACAGAGTCCAGTAAGGTCCTTGGGGACAATCATGTGGCAGTTTGTAGCATTTCAGGGACTATCAGGAGGAAATCGGGCCCATGTGGGGAGGGCCTGGGTGTACACAGCCTGACCTGGGCCAGCAACTGCTACAAATGTCTCGAGCTCTGTGTTCTATGAAGATTCAGCATTAAAATTAGGAATATGAAGGATAATAACACAGAGATATGGGGAAAGCAGTTGTTACATATTCACTTAAATGAGAGGTGTTCACAAACCGGAAGCCCCAAGGTTAGAGAAACTGAACATTGTCATTGTTGTAGTGACTGAAGGAGAGCTACCAAGGCCGCTAAAAAACAAAACAGACACCGACACTGTTTCTCTGATCCTCATGAAAGAAGAGTCTCCTTCAGTCAGTGCACACCACTGACAGCTTTTTCCCCATGGATAAGTGCAGAGATCTCTTCAGCACGCCTCTGGCGTTAGCAGATCCTATTGGCTTTGCAAATTCTAACTACTGGTTCTAAGTCTGGTAAACCAAAGGCTGTCATTTTCTTCACACATCTTCAATTCTAACAAAGGGTTTGGAGTCACCACAGAAACCTCTCAACCAACCAGGGAAACAGTGATGGTATCGGGAGGACAGGGCATGCAGAACGGCCTGAGTTGACACCGGTGCAGCTGAGGTAGCTCAGTGAAGACAGAGGAGGGTGCGTGAATGAACAGAAGAGGCAGCTTTGGCAGGGGGTTAGGACTAACCGTAGCCCCTGAAGATAGGAGGGAAAGAGCGGAAGGCAGAAGTGCAGTCGCATAGAATGAAGTTTGTGCACTTGTGACGATGAGCCGAGTGAGCAAGTCACCACAGCAGCACGACACCGTCTAGAGCTCCATGACTTGATCCCCCAGAGAGCTGTGGAAGTTCCCAATGCTCTGTTTTAAAAGGTCTCCCATCCCTGTGTGTGTGTGAGTGTGAGTGTGTGGGTGTGTGTGTGTGTGTGTGTGCGTGCACGCGCGAGTGTGCTCTCGAGAATGCAAACTGGGGTCCTCTGCAAGAGCAGTTGTACAGGCTTAACCACCGAACACTTCTGCAGTTCCATTACTCTTTCTTTTTTTTTTTTTTTTCTATTCTGAACAGGTTTCTTCCCCACAAAGTGCTATCATTTGCCTCCCTACGTTTTTTTTTTAAAGAAGTCCAAGTCTCTGAAGATTGAGGATAGTGATTCATGACAAAAATCATATTAAGTTCAATTAACATTTATTGAGCTTCTCTACTTTGTACCAAGAACTCATGTTGACCTCTGGCCATTTTAAACTTACTGGGTCAGGAAATCACTCAGCTAAGTGATAGGTACCAAAGGAAAGTAGATGATCCTATACAGTATTTGTGATTCCATAAAGTACTTATTTGAAGCTAGCATTTAGAGGCCAAAGATATAGAATGTAATGGAAGTTTTGGTTTCTTTTAAAACTCAACCATGTTATGTAAATCTGTTTTTGTTTTAATCCCAAGTGTGGGATTTTAGTCGGGGCTTTAGTTTGTCCACAGCTCATAATTGCCTCCTTCAGGGTGTGGTCTTTGCCAGCTGGTAACGGCCTGCCTCGTGCAGCACGGAGAGGGGTGTAGGCTAGGACTCTGAGGATATAAATAGGAGAACCCAGAAAGAGTGATGTGGCAGTTTGGAGAGACCAGAGATGGATGATGTGGAGGCTTAGAGAAGACAGATGGGGAGGAACATTTCAACGCAGCAGCTTGGAGGAGACTGCTTGCTGCGTTTGCCATTGATGGAGATTGGGATAGCCCCTAAAGAGCCCATAGACACTAAACAGGAGAAGCAAAGGTGGGAGAAGTAAAGGGGTCTGCGCCCCCTCTCCCCACTAACCTTCTCTCTCTTTCCTAGGGTTAAAGGGTTGGTGAAAAGGCAGTAGAGGCTTAAATACCCCAAATAAAGGAGAGTTTAAAAATGAGCGCAGGGGAACTAGCGTTTCCAGCAAATACAGTGCCACTTAGTTACCAGGGAGCGGAACAAACTGCTGAGCCACAACTTTGTGTCGTTCGCCGGCATTGAGTGTCCCCTCTAGCTCTTAGGATAATCATAAAGCAGGAATTGATAGCTCCGAGCTGTAGAGATAGGTTCATGCAGCTAATCTTGACAATCCGCTAAACACACTATGCTAACGCCGCGTGATGAGCTCATTCAGTTCTCTTCAAATCCATTCTATGAGAGAGTTACCATTACTATCTCATTTTCCATATAGGCATCAGGCAAAGAATCCTTAAGTAACAGACGTAGGATAAAAACAGAAACCCCCTCTGCTCCCCCTTCAATGGGCAACGGGGCACCTGGTTGGTGGTGTTGTTCTTAGATCAGTCAGGGGCAGAGCAGATGGCAATCCTTTGCTCATTCTAGTTTGATGCCTAGCTTGGTGGCCAAAGATGTTTTATGCTTAAGGCACATAAAATGGGATCAAATCCAGCATCACAGCACAGGAGGAAGAAGACAGACATGTTTCGCCAGGTCACCCAGACGGGCATGGTAAAAGATTTCCACAGGCCTGCTCCCCACCCCGTGGCACAGGTGGGCCATAGACACAGAGAACCCGGCCTACCACCACACAGGCAGAGACACCCGTGGACACCGTGTCACCCACAGAGCTGGCGCACAGCTCAGGCAAGCTGTAGGCACTGCTGGCCACCGCACCGTGCAGAGACGGGGGATGTCACCCAGGGGCCGCCAGCTGCCTGGCCGGCCTGTAGCAGGAGGCATCGCACTGGGCAAGTATGTGGTGGATGGATGGGAGCCGATTGAGCATTCTGAAGAGAGATGGAACTGGAGACTCAAGGGTGGAGAGGAGTAGCCACTGGGAGTGGCCTGCCCGGCCACCCAGGGCCATGGTGAGGCTGCCTCTGAGGGCCCCGTCTGAGACTCTGGCTGCACAGCAGCAGGGGTGGTTGTTGATGTCCTATTACCGCTAGAGAACAGGGAGACATCCCTGATCGGGGCAGCCGCCTGGGATCACGCAGATGTCCAGGGTCTGTGCAGAAGTGGCTCTGCTACCCACTGGCCTGGGTGCTCTGGAGGGCTGACCCCACCTCTCACCAATAATGGCACTCAGAAGAGCAGGCCCTGTGCCTCGCCCAGGCAGCACAGTGGAGCTGGCACTGGTGGTGACGGGTGTGAGTGAGCTGGTCCTGAGGGTGTAAGTGTGGGAGGGCTGACCCCGGTAGTCAGGAAAACCACCTCATGAGCTCGGGAGAGCTAGCCCTGCCCCTCACCAGCTGCAGCACTCACCTAGCCTTGACAGCACAGCATTGCTGGCCCTCCCTGGTGGTGGGGGTGCAGGTAAGCCACCCTGAGGGTGAGAGCAAGGGACTGCTGGCTCCACCACTCATCTGACCAGAGGTGGCCTGGGTGCTGGTATGATGCCCTCCCCTCACCCCCTTCACCACCTGTGCTAGTTGGGAGAGCTGGCACTGGGGCAGGAGAGCAGGAGAGCAGGAGAGCAGGAGAGCAGGAGAGCTGGCCCTGCTCCTACCAGTGGCAGCATTGGGTGGCCTCTCTGGAGCACTGCTGGAGAGCTCGCCAGAGGGGTGCAGGTAAGGGGGAGCTCTGCTACCGACAGGCTCCTATCCAGGGCTCTGAGTTGACCCACCCAAAAGCTATATCATCTGCAAATGATTGGGATGCAAGAAAGGGTGGGTCCTGCTGTTCCAAAGCTGTGGGATCGCCATGACAACAGGATAACCGGAGGAGTCCCAGGGAGGATCCAACATTGTCACAGAAGCCAGAGACCTCGCACCAGACTAATGACTCACTGCAGTGAACATTTGCAAGTGAAGAAGTGTGGACAGAGGGCTGTACTTGTGACACACTGTAGCTTCCAGGATGAAAGTGTTTCTATGCTTTTTTAATTGTTTGCTTATGTGCTATATAATGGAGGGAGGAGGTTGCAAGAGCAAAGGACAGATATAAGTGAACAGGGAGATGACTGACTGGGGTGTGATGTGACCAATTGAAAGTCTTTTAAAAGGCTAAAAAACCAACAGAAACAAAACAACAACAACAACAACAAGACCCCAGAAATGCAGTCCAGAGCTCTTGTCCCTTCCATGTCAATGCTGCCCAGTAAGAACACAGCAGGAGGTCCTCGCCACCCCATACCCATCAAAGACAAGATGGCTAAGGTGAACATCACCAGGAGGCACAGAGCTGAACGTGAGCGTTGTGGGGTAGCCACCGGAGAAGACCGCCGGACACGGGGCTAAGCCAATACAAAGTCTTTATGAGCCGGCCAGCAGCTACCCTGGGTGTTCCGGATCCCAGCGTAGCACAGGGACTTTCTCAGGGTGAGCCTTTAGGCACAAAAACATGTCCTGTGTTGCTACACTTCAGTGAGCAAGGACAGTTAGCCAGAAGCAAAACTACAGAAGCCAAAAAGCAAGGTTAGCATACTTAGAGTCTTTCCCAGAACTATGGACCTGAATGGATTAGGTCTTTATTTTCATTTTGGCAGGTGGTGCTGTCTGTGTGCTGAGTGGTGCGGCCTGAATGGCACTTCCATCATGGAGTCGGTTGTGCTAAGGTTTGGGGCTCTGTTACAAAGACCATAAACAACTTGGTGACCATAAAGTTTTCTGATGACACAGTGACCAAAAATTAATTCACAACCAAATGTGTAATGAGTACGAGGGGTCTGTGCGTGTGTGGCATTGGGAAGCCATATTTCATTGTACGTTACTACTCGCCATGTCGGACACCCTGCAACACCAACGAACGGCGCCAGAGACACCGCAGCTTAGACTCAAGACCAGCGAACATTACGAATTACCTGTCTTTACCGTGCATATGGGTTTATGCTCATATGAAAGACAGTGTCTGGATGAACACAAAGACATTCACCATTTTCCCACCATCATGCCTAAGCATGTATCTACAGTGTATCCTGTGGATAATACCAGGGTTGATGCTTGATTTTAAAGCTTCGGTTTGAAGTGCTGACTTGTCTTTCATAAAACAACCATTACGAGAATTTTGGTTTGGGATTAGGATACGATTTCCAGCAATTTCTGGAATGGCCCTAAATAACCCTTCTGCCAGTTTGTACTAGCTGTCCACATGAAATGATGTTCTCAGCCTTGATGAATATAAAATCGAAATATTGATCAACTTTAAAAAAAAAAATGCTGGCAATAGTGGAGATACTGTATAGACCCTGCAGTATCCAACAGCCAAGATTTAATTTGGGCGGGTGGCACGGGGAGACAAGGGTCTCACTGTGTAGCCCTGGCCCACTGTCAACTCAGAGCGACTAAAGATGTGAGCCACCACACCCGAAACATTTAATTCCTTATGTAAAATAAGCACATTTGTCTCAGTTTGCAAATCTGCTCTTTAATAAATGGCAGAATTATATGTATATCAAGTGATTCTTTAGAAATAAGTCTCCTTATGATCATAAATATTTGATTCGTATGCCTATTTTATACCTACTACCTATACGCAAGGGTCACATAAAAGTTTCTCGGGCAAAAAGAGGTCATGAGTAGGAAGTCTGAGGAAGTCATGCTTAAGGCAGACTATATGGGCTAGGTGAAAGGACGGTGCTTGGCTTCGGGCAGGCATTCGGCTCATTTGAGGCGGCTTGAGGGGAACTAAGGCGTCCTTGCGCTTTCTAGCCTTTTTATCTGAAAGAATACGTTCTTTGGTAGAGTGCCGTTTTTTAGATGGAGACCATTCGTGGTTGGAGAGCTCTCAGCAGAATTGTGGGTGTCTGACTTCCTAATCTTTTCCTTACACGGAGGAGAAGGGGAGGTGGTGAGAGGGGGAGGGGTCTCAGGGAGGCAGAACCCGGGAAGTGTTGGCTCCCTCTCCCTTTGTATCCGACACTCTGGAGACTAGCCTGCTCTGTACAGTCTCTGCGCAGTGCCTGGAAGAGAGGCCCTCACTCTCCTGAGGTCTCTCTGCCCTCCCTGCTCCTGCTGTCTATACAAGCTGGGTGAACTTGACTGCAGCGTCAGGCGGTTCTTCCTTGCAGACATCCCAGAATATGGAGGACAGCAGCTGGCTGCTTGGTGTCTGCAGAGGCCGAATGGTAAGTTTTAGCACATGCTGGTGTCTGCCTCCTCCTCCCCAAACCATCTGGACCTATACATCTCTCACGCCTCTGGGATAGGCCACAATGTGACAAGGCTTTCCGGAGCCTAATGAAAACCGTATCTCATGCCTTTTACTTGTTGGGGTAAGTTTAGGGGAATGTGTTTAAAAACGCACGCTGACAGAGAGGGCTTCGTAAAGCTGAACTGTGCACAGCCCGTCCTGAAATGAGTTTCCCCTCGGCTTTAGCGTTATTCTAATTAATATTGTGTACGTGAGTGTACATACGTGCATGATGGACATGCGTGTGTCCATCACAGGGTCTCTTACTGTAACTGGAACTTGTGGGGGGGGCAGGGATGTCAAACCCACAGGGTTGTGCCTCTCAGGAAGGGAGGAGATGTGGTTCATGGCCTGGTGACCTCTGTGCTTTCCGTGCAGCTCAGACCGTACCAGGTCCTCCTGCAGACATTCGTGGTGGGCTTGTCGCTCTACAGAGCCTGTCTTTACGGAGGGCGTCACGTGGATGCAGTGCATAGAGCCCACCTTGATGGAGAATGTCGTGTATACGACACAGAGAATTTCTACATAGTTGTGTCTCAAGCTCTAGTGTGCTCATGGGCCTGAGTTAGTTAACACCAGCAAAGTTTTCGCCAGGTTGTTCGGTGCTTAACTAGCCCTGTAATAAACAACTTGGGGTCACACCCCTGAAGTCTGTGCCGACACTGACTACTCAGCCGGTTTGCCGGAGTCTTTCCTTCGCTCACGGGTGGCTGTCTCTTCACATCTCAGTGGTCTCCCTTCCATGTGGTCTGTGTTCAAATTTTTTCTTTTTTAAAAAGATCTAAATTTAATTTTATTTGTCTGTGTGTGTCTGTGCGCATGTGTGCACCCACATACAGCCATGTGTTCAGGCACCTGAGGAGGCCAAGAGAGGACGTTAGGCCCCTGCTAAAGTTGTAGGTGGTTGTGAGGTTAGGGGTGACAGGAAAAAAACTTCAGTCCTCTGCCAAGATATCAAGAGCTCCTGGCCACCAGGCTATCTCTGCAACCCCAAATCCCTCCCTCTTAGAAGGATACCTATGAAATCAGAATAATTCCTTTCAGTTCAGCCACCATTTAAAGGGACCCATTTTCAAATATGGCTGCACTCTGGGGTCCTGGCCTCCAGGCTTCCACAGAAGAGCCTGGAGAGAGGGACACACACAGTCCTGATGGACAGTGAGGAGGACACGGCTGACACTTCCTTTCCTAGCTCGTGGGGAGAGCAGAGCCACCTGTGCCGAATGGTCTGTTCTATAATCTCAGGATGCCCCAGACATTCCAAACGCTCCTGAGGTGTCTCACAGGGCAGGGCTACAACAGC